ATTTTAAACATAAGCGTGCGATCGCTCGCCGTGTCATCCGTGACGCAAAACGCAACTTGCTGGCGAGATATGTCTCCACCATCACCTCTGCTTCCTCTATGAGTGCAGTCTGAAAAAAGTCGAAACTGAGTGGTAAATAATCTCCTGACCCCGCTCTGTTCTGCGGGTTGCCGGTGTTGATATAGCAAACCCACTAGATGTTGCCAATGAAATTGGCAATCATCTGGTCCGTATTTCAGGACTCCATCTATGCCCCTCATTTCTTTCCTCAAGTCTGCCCAGAGAGTTAGCACCCTTGGACTTTTCTTCTCTCAGAGAAGAACAGTATAAATGTGCCTTTTACACTTCAAGAACTGGGCAACACTCTCAGCTGTCGATCATCGGCAGCTGGGCCCGACGACATTCATATTCGATATGCTACAACATTTACATCGATCAGCCCTTGCAGTCCTATTACACCTTTACAATCTTATTTGGTCACAAGGAGTTCTTCCACAGCTGTGGAAATCCGCCATTGTTCTCCCTTTCCGCAAAACCAGGCACTACGGGACATGTAAACCCTCCCACTATCGTCCCATTGCTCTTACCAGTCAGTTTGCAAAGTAAGGAACGTCTAGTAAATAGACGTTTAAGTGTGGTATTTAGAGACACACAACAGTCTCTCCACTCGTCAATATGGCTTTCGTAAGGGACGTTCTACATAGACCCCTTACTGCGCTTGGATACGTATGTTCGTAATGCCTTTGCGAATAACCACTCAGTTATTGCCATATTTTTGACCTTGAGAAGGCATATGACACAACTTGGAGGTTATAATATTTTAGCCCAAGCCCACTCCTTAGGCCTTCGAGGCAATCTACCATCCTTCCTTAAGAACTTTTTAACTGACAGGCATTTCCGTGTTCGGGTTAATAATGTGCTCTCCCCGGACTTTGTCAAGCTGAAGGTGTCCCCCAGGGATGTGTTCTGAGCAAACACTTTTTCCCCTTGCTATTAATGATTTGGCCTTCTAGCTTCCATCAAATTTTGGTCATCACTCTATGTTGTGACTTTGCTATTGCCTGTGCAGGCGCTGACTGTCACCTCCTTACAGTTTCTCTCCAGCATGCAGTCGACCGTGTTTCCATTGGGCCACCACACATGGGTTTAAATTTCCAGCACTAAAACCCACCAAATCACTTTCACAAAGACGCTCTGTCATCTCTGATCATCCTTTGTACCTCTATGGCTCACGTATCCCTAAACTTTGTTTACAGTCAAGTTTCGGGGCCTCCTCTTTGATCGTAGGTTATCCTGGAAACCTCACATTACCTCTCTGAAGGCAACTTGTCACAGCCGCTGAACCTTCTTAAAACCCCTTGCTCTCTTTCGTGGGGAGCTGATCGTCGAACCTCCTTCACCTACATCCACCCTTATTTTATCGAAACTTGATTATGGTGACCAGATCAAATTCAGCGGCATCTCCTGTTTACTCTCTCTAGCCCTTAACCCCCTTTCATCACCAAGGTTACGTTTATGCCTTGGTGCTTTTCGCTCTTCCCCTGTCGAAACCTCATGCAAACCCGAACGTTCCATCCTTATCCGATCCCCGTGATGCCCATTGCCTGCGCTACTATGTACGCTCTCATGATCTCCGCAATCCTTCCATTTATAGAATGGTCATGATTTTTAGTAGACATTCTTTATTTGTTCGCCGCCCCTGCTTACTCCGTCCCTTCTCTCTTCGCCTTCATTCGCTCTTGTCGTCTCTTAAAACTACCACCTTTCTATGTACATGTAGCATCCCCACTTTTCCTACCCCCCTGGGAGGTCCAGCTGTTCGAGTCTGTTCTTTCTCCCTCCCTTGCTCGAAAGCCCAACTGTCTACGGTCGCTTCCCCTCTCTTTTTCTTGACCACTTCACTCTCTTTCTCATGCCATTGCTGTGTACACAGATGGCTCTAGTCTTCTGACGGCGTAGGGATTCGCAGCAGTGTTTCCGACAGCGTCGTACAAGGGCATTTAAATCTTCAGCTAGTATTTTTAATGCTGAATTATATGCCATCCTTACAGCACTTATCCGTATTGCATCTATGCCTGTGTCATCAATTTGTGGTTGTCTCAGACTCCCTTAGTGCTTTACAGGCTAACAAAATTTGATACACCTCCCCCCTTTTAGTCCTCCGTATCCAACTTTGGCTACGCCGCATCTTTACTAAGCATAAAGATATTGTTTTTTGTTGGGTCCCTGGTCATGTTGACGTACAGGGCAATGAACAGGCAGACACTGCTGCGCGGTCAGCAGTACATGACCTACCAGTTTCTTACAGAGGTATTCCATGTACGGACTATTTTGCTGTAATATCTTCCCACCTTCACACCCGTTGGGAACAAGTTGGTCTACTATGCTCGGCAACAAACTTCAGTCTATTAAACCGAGTATAGGTTACTGGCCGTCTTCTTATCACCAGTGTCGAGGTTGGGAGACTACTCTCTCCCGTCTTCGCATTGGCCATACTCGTCTTACTCATGGATATCTCATGGAGAGGCGTCTTGCCCTCTCTGTGAGAATTGCCAAGCTCCCTTACATTTAGCCACTTCTGTTGGACTGCCCACTTTATCAACGAGCACGCAGAATTTTTCCTCTGTCGTCGTCTTCGCCCGCTGCTCTCTCTTTACCCTTCCCTTCTCGCTGATGGGCCCACCTTTCATCCGGACTCTCTTATTGACTTTTTGACAACGACTGACTTACTTCACAAATTCTGATACTTTCAGCCCTTTCTACTTGTATCTCTTGCTACCCTCTACCCCCCTACTATCCCCTGCCCCGCTGTTTTCTGTAACCTGCTGATCATCCCCCCTCCCTCCTGCCATCCAATTCCCTTGCTTCCTTCCCTACCCTGCAGCGCTGTATAGCCCTTGTGGCTTAGCGCTTCTTTTTGATTATAATAATAATATCTCCTGCTATCTGTTTTTCATTTATCCACACCAATAAGAGTCTCTCAACATCTTCCATCAATTGCGATCTTTGTTTCGAAAACACAGTTGAACCTTTGGCAAGAACAGCTTCCTTGATTGTCTTTCTGGTGCCCACAATAGTAGCGATGGTTGATTGGGGTTTCTTGTACAGCTTGACTAGGTCGGCTATACGCACTCCACTTTCATACTTATCAATTATCTCTTTCTTCATCTCTATAGTAATTCTTACCCTTTGAGGTGTAGGGTTGGCACTAGAAGCTTTCTTGGGGCCCATGGTCACTTATTTTCCAGAAACAGCACCGAAAATACTGTAATAATACGAAATATTCCGAGTGTATGCTTGGATGTTACCGCGGAGGCTGGCTGGTAAACAATGGGACGGAGCGGCACATGTGAGGCTGGCTGAGGGCACATTGGACGCGTCTCGGACGAAAATCGGTATGCGGGTTTTTAATCGGTATGCGGGGCAAAAATTTTGCGATAAAAGTAATCGTTATGCGGAAAAATCGCTATGCGATGCCATCGTTATGCGGGGGTCCACTGTACATCCGTCAGCATTTTGGGGGGAATTCTTTATTAAAAGTTTTTTTTTACTGTATCAAAATTTTTAAATACATGTATACAGTGGACCCTTGGTTATCAGCCATAATATGTTCCAGCTCAGCCTAAAACTGAAATGGCCAAAAACGAAATAATATTTCCCATGAGAATTAATGTAAATACAATTAATCCGTTCCCAACAAAAATATTAACAAAAAATAACTTTTTTAACAATTAAAATCAGTATTATATACCTTTATTGAAGACTAATGCTGGCTTCTGGAATGCCAGCTACACTTCCTGCATGTCTGCTACACTCCCTGCATGACTGTTACACTCCTTGCATGCCTGCTACACTTCTTGTATGTCTGCTACACTACCTGCATGCCTGCTACACTTCCTGCATGCTTGCTACACTCCCTGCATGTCTGCTACACTCCCTGCATGTCTGCTGCACTCCCTGCAGGCCTGCTGCACTTCCTGCATGTCTGCTACACTTCCTGCATGCCTGCTACACTTCCTGCATGCCTGCTACACTTCCTGCATGCCTGCTACACTTCCTGCATGTCTGCTACAGTCGCTGCATGCCTGCTACACTTCCTGCATGTCTGCTACAGTCGCTGCATGCCTGCTACACTTCCTGCATGTCTGCTACAGTTGCTGCATGCCTGCTACACTTCCTGCATGCCTGCTACACTTCCTGCATGTCTGCTACAGTCGCTGCATGCCTGCTACACTTCCTGCATGTCTGCTACAGTCGCTGCATGCCTGCTACACTTCCTGCATGCCCGCTACACTCCCTGCATGTCTGCTACACTGCCTGCATGTCTGCTACACTACCTGCATGCCTGCTACACTTCCTGTATGCTTGCTACACTCCCTGCATGTCTGCTACACTCCCTGCATGTCTGCTACACTCCCTGCAGGCCTGCTGCACTTCCTGCATACCTGCTACACTTCCTGCTACACTTCCTGCTACACTTCCTGCATGCCTGCTACACTTCCTGCATGCCTACTACACTCCCTGCATGCCTGCTACACTCCCTGTATGTCTGCTACACTCCCTGCATGCCTGCTATACTTCCTGCATTCCATGGTGTTTCTCACTTTCTTTACCACAGGAAATTTACTAGGAACTTTCTTTGGAACCATGGTTACTTATTTCACAGTTGCACTGCAAAAAACCCACTAAAAGCAATGGAAAACAAGCAAAATGTTTGGATGTATGAGTAGAAGCTTCCTCACACACTGAGAGAGACAGCCAAACTGATGTGCAAGTGACCCCAGCCGGTGGACAGGCGTGTCTGAAACAGCCGATCACCGGGAACCGAAAAGCCGGCTGATCACTGAGTTGGCCAATAACAGGAACAACCGATAACCGAGGGTCCACCATATATATTTATTTATTACACACAACTTGTATATACCTAGTATGTATGTGTGTATACGTACAATAAATGATGAATTATGCAATTAATTTTGATTTTTTCTTTTTTTTTGCAGGTCACGTTTACCAAGTTGCACAAGAGTTTAATAGATGTTACGAAAATGAGTTCCCAAGAATTGCAAGGCAAAGGTACACGTCAGTGAGCAACACTAGGCTACCTCACCTTTTTTTTGCAGCTTCGTGCCATCGTTGAAATAAGCTGTCAATCTCGTAAAAAAAATCACCCTTGCCCACAGAATCATTCAAAGTTATTTCCTGATGCTGCTTTGTGTAAGTGCCACATTGCAGGCGTGTGTTTATCATGCATGCTGTGGGGCATCAGCTTCGGATATTAGTGGCACGCAGCAATTAACTAAAAATGCTATAATAACACTTATTTTTATTTGTTTGTTTATACTGTACACATGTTTATGATTTTGCTTAATAAGCTTTACTGCTTTCGTTGCACTGAAGTGGTCTTGTAGTGTGTGGTAATAGTTTTAGTGCTGTATAGTACATGTATATACAGTACTCTTTTTTTTTTTTTTTTTTTTTTTTTTTTTTTTTTTTTTTTTTTTTTTTATATGGGATATTTATTTTTCCTTTCATTGTAATATATTAATGCTCCGTTAATGCACATTAGGTGATGTTTTATCTGATTTGTTGTAATATAGTATGGCATGCAGAGTTATGTTTCGGTAAAAAACAATGCGAATAGTATTTTAATCATATTGTATAGTGCTTTGCATTAAACTTTAACTTAGTAAAGTACATATTAGGTATGTGTTTATATTTTTATGATAAACCATTAGTTTTCTGAGATTCATACAGTGTATTTAACATTTTGGTTTGTTTATGGAGTGTGTGTTTTGGATTTTTAACATCTTTGGTTAAGCAGTGAATATAAATCTTAAGCTAAATTGTAGTACAGTATTAACGTGTTTTTGGATTTGATTCCTACTTCATTTTGCCATGGAAATTTGTGATAGTTATCATCATTAAAGACTTGAATTTTAGCCGGCTGTAACACAGGTTGCTATAAAGTACCTCATGAATATGATAATACAGTGCATTTTATATTTTTTCTTTTTATAAAGTGTAACTTTCTGAAAATAATAAGTAGGCTTTCTGAAGTATACACCTTTTCCTACCACACTAGCAGTCTTTTTTTTTTTTTAACCTTATTCATAATACATTATGTATGTTAAGCAGCCTTAGTGACATCGCTCAGTATTTTTTTATATTCTTTCTAAATCTGAATTTGTTCTAGATGTTTTTTGGTTAGATATGATCTAATGAGCTGTTGGAGTGTGAGCAGGGTAATATTTTGTTAAGGGATTCAGGGAAACCAGTTACCTGGACTTGAGTCCTGGAGGTGGGAAGTACAATGCCTGCACTTTAAAGGAGGGGTTTGGGATATTGGCTGTTTGGAGTGACATCTGAACTGTCATATCTGGTTGCCTCTGCAAAGACAGTGATTTTGTGTGAATGATGGCAAAAGTGTTGAATGATGGTGAAAGTGTTTCTTTTTTGGGTCACCCTGCCTCAGTGGGAGACAGCCAATGTGTTAAAGAAATAAAAAAGAATGATGAGGAGAGTAATAGAATATATGTGGGAAATAAAGTAGGTGGAATGTTTAATGTGAAAAAAATGCATATAAGTGCATGAAAAAATAGAAAAGGTACCAGAATACAACTATACCAACTTTTGCAAGGGTGTGAAGCATGTTTTTTTAATGTTGCAGTGAGGAGACTGGAGGCAGTGAACATGTCTATGTTGAAGATCAATGTGTGGTATGAGTATTAGGCAGAGAATAGTGAGTGAATGAATTGATAGATGAGGTATGAAATAATTCAAGGCATGGTGGATGGTTGTTGAGAAAAGATGAGTAATATAGATTGACTAAAGGGTGTATTAATAAGGCATGAATGAAAATTGGTGTAGGGGGACACCCCAAAAAGGATTAGGAAGAGGGTATGAAGTTTTTGAGATCTTAGGCATATAAGATATGGAATATGAGCATAATAGCTTAATGTACCACATTTTTATAAATATACTCTATTGCATTAATACTGAATAGTAATACTAAATATATAACAAATGTTAATTGGGAAACTCATGGAGTCTTAGGAAATTATAATTCATTGTTTATGGGTGCTGTGTGCTCACTTGCCTCACCAATTAAGAGCAAAAATTCAAAACTAAAATTTTGAAAATCTCTAAATTTGGATTTTTTTTTTTCAGAATAACATAGATATTAGATATTTACTATTTCTGTTTGGAATTTTCTGTCCTTTGGACACCTGATTATGCATTAGGTCAGTTAGGAGAGAAATCATTTATGTAATATAAAATTTAGAGTTTACCTATTTTTCGTATGCTATCCTGTCTTACATATTGTATTGACAAAATACAGTTATACTCTATATTTCAAATAACTGTGTACCCACATATAATAGAATGTATTAATAAGAGGCAGTTGCATTTTTTCATCCTTATATGTTTAGTTTATGTAAATTTTAATAACTAGTTTTACCTAAGAGCATCTTAATGCCTAATATCCTCCTGCAAATTTGATACCTGGTTTGATTAGAAGTGTTAGCACCTTACTTTACATGATATTCTCTCAAAGGACAGAAAATCTAAGCATTTTATTTTTTTTACTAACGTTTGCACCATGATTGTAAGTGCCTGTGGATATGAATTTTTCATACTGGTGTTAGTTTGTTTTTGTTAGCAGTTGCTTTGAAAATGTTGATTAAAATGCAGTCCACTGAAATGGTTTTAGAGCTTTTGAAGATGGAAACATTCATGAGCATACTATACAACTAAACATTTGTAATGGCTTCTGCTGCCTTGTCTTTTTTCCACTTTTTCTGCTGTGCATCAGAGTACAGTACTGCCTTAGCTTGATTTGAGTAGTAAAGGTGCATGTCATATTAGAGCAGTAGTGTATTTCCATTAAAACATTAAAGACGTGATATTCCTTCAAATAATTTAATTTCAATTAATTGTATATGTTTTTAGTAGATTCATGCTACACTGATTATTATATATTCATGAATTAAAATGTAGTTTTGGGGGGTTCTCCCTCTGTAACTAGGCCTAAGCCCAAATTTTACATGATGCTGGACAAGTGCCACCCAACAACTCTCTGCCAGATAGCATCCATGTTCAGGGGCTTCATGCTTACATTAGTCTTCCTCTTAAACCTTTTTAGTCTTGTTTGGTCCAGAGGGGTTATAACTTCGGCAAAAAACAGCTCAAAGTACCTGCCTCTTTTTGGTCCACTGAAGAAGCCTGTCCACAGGCAAAATATCACAGTAATGTTCCTCTCTGCAATTGTCTTATTCCAATGTATGATATAGTTAGATGTCCTGGCTTTCTAATTGTTGAATTACCAGGCCGTCAGGCTGGTGTTAAAACCTCATCTGAGTCTGATGCTGTTGCTGCTCGTTTCTGGGTGCATGTCCTCCACCATACACATCTCAGTCGATGCATCCCACTGCACATCTACATCTGCCACCAGGTCTCTCATCACATCCTTAGAGACTACTTGTCTTAGTTGGCTCAAGCTTCTTAAAACTTTACCCCAGATTTCTTGGAAAGCTGTAGGATAAAAGCAATGCCTGTGGCTTTTATTCTGTTTACTTTCATGACCCTCTCAATCCTCTTATATTCAGAATACAGTAATCACAGATATCAGTAAGATTAGTTGACTTAATTGTCAACTCATTTATTGTAGCCCTTTAATCTCTGTTCATACTCTTAAAATCCTCTCCTCCCTTTTGACATCTGCTTTATATGATACTTTTCCCTTCCTCTTTAGGATGTTCTGACAATTCAGGCTTGTTCCTCTGCCCTTCCATACCCAAAGGTGTGCATGTCTGCTATGAACTCTTTTTGCCTAGAACACTTTCAGTCACATTTCTGTGCCACTGCACTGTACACCAATGGTTCCAAATCCCCAGGTGAAATAAGGTATGCAGGTTATTTTTTTTAATGGTAATTCAAGGTCACTTACTGGAGTTAGCCAGCATTTTCACAGCAGTTATGTGTAATACTTGCCACTATCATACATACTGCATCATTGTTTCAGAATTCTGAAGCTATCTAGAAATTTGACTCCCTATATCTCATTGTACATCACATATTTTACAGTAATGGTTATGTTGTATTTCTAGCAAGCGCTTTTTTTGTGTGTGTGTGTTTGGACATGCTGATGTTCAGGGCAACAAACATGTGGACTTAACTTCTCAGTCTGCTCTTCATGACCTTTCAGTTTCCTGCCAGGAGGAGAGGGGGGGGGGCACAGCTTTTGTTTTAACCACAGTATTTTCCAGTGCTTTCTCAGCATCTGAAGTTGCTGGTAACATCGTTGGTCTGAGTTAGAGCAAAACAGATTGTTTTCTGTCATACTCCAGCTGGGTTCCTGACTATTTTTCCATCATTGTTGTGTGTGGCAAACTACACTTGCACATTTACAAATCAGACATTCGTGACTCTCACAGATACTATGTGGAGAGAGACCCATTATCTTGCTGCAAGGACTGCCAGGCCAAGCTCAATTCACCATGTCTTAATAGATTGTCCTACTTGTGAGCGTGTTTCTCAAGGGAGGTGTCTTTATGCCAGTAACAGACTCTTGATACAAGGAATTGTACATATTCTCCCTTGGATTGAAACTGATTGCTTCTCATTTTCTCATTCTCTGTATGACTCCTAGTTTAGCTTTCCTCTTATATATGTAATATAATGATATAAGAGAGCACACAGAATTCACTTTCACCATCTGCAGCACCTTGACACTAATTGATCTCGCTTAAAGTCCCGCCTTCAACACAGACTTACCCTGACTTTTAAACACAAATATACTTAATACATCAACCTTGAGATAAATTTAATACCTGCATTATTCCCCAGCTTCTCGAACTGTGACCCCTTACACACCACATTGCAGTGGTGTATGATTCATATGGGTTTAGTGCTTATTTTTCAGTATAACAACAATTATACTGGAATGTATTTTTTGTATTCTTGAAATAATTTATTATGGAATTATGTATATGTACATGTATTTAAAAGCAGGTTTTTGTAGAGAGTACATAAACATATAAGAATACAAAAAATAATCAGGCTGAAATAAATAG